TGCCAACTGTAAACTGAAATATTAGAAAGCATGATGCATGAATGCAATTTCAGTTGGTGATCACACCTTTCCTGGCGTATGTAAAAAATTAAACCACTCACATCATAAGAATGGGGACATAGGAGACACAATTCTGATTAAGATAAAAGGGTTTGGATCTGTCTTCCTGCCAGAAACAACCAAAAAACTGGATGAAATATTTATTAAAATGGCTTTCAAGTAACTGGATGTCAGGTAAGAAATGTCATTGAATGACAGTGAAGGCAGGAAATAAACAAGGTGAGCTTTACATTGTCCCAGTGTTCTGCCTAGAGAGAGTTTTCAGGCCATGGTGCCAACTGTCCAGGTTGTGGAGGAACCAACTTGGATGCTCTGCTGATAGTTCTGTAAAGAGTGCAGTGACTTTGGATGGATGTTTAGGTGGATGTTTAACTGTTTAAGAAACTAACTTGACCAGTTTCTTAAACAGTTAAACATCTACATACTATAAGACCCAGTTATTGCACTCCTAGTTATTTACTCAAGAAGATGAACACATATGTCCGTAGAAAGACATATACAAATGCTCATAGCATCTTTATTTGCAATGGCCAAAAAACTGGAGATAACCCAAATGTCCATGAATAAGTGAGTAGATAAACACACTGTGATATCATCTACACAATGGAATACTACACCAATAAAAAGGAATACTCTGTTGATACAGCAGCATGGATAAGTCTTAGAGAAGGGAGCAAAACAAAGAGTATATACTGATTCCATGTATATAAAATTCTTGAGAATGCAAACTAATCTAAAGTGACAGAAAGAAGATCAGCAGCTGCCTGAAGGTGGAGACAGAGGTGCTGGGAGGGAGTAATTACAAAAGGACACAACGAATGGATAAATATGTTTATTATTTTTACTGTGGTCATGGTATCATGAGTATATGCATATGCCAATAGTTCTCAAAAATGTATACTTTCAATATGTGAAGTTCCTTCTGTATCATTTAAAAATATTTTGTAGCTGGGCACAGTGGCTCCTACCTGTAATCCTAGCTATTTGGGCAGCTGAGGCAGGTGGATCACCTGAGGTCAGGAGATCGAGATCAGCCTGACCAAGATGGTTAAACCCCGTCTCTATTAAAAATACAAAAATTAGCCGGGCATGGTGGTGGATGCCTGTAATCCCAGCTACTGGGGAGGCTGAGGCAGGAGAATTGCTTGAACCTGGGAGGCAAAGGTTGCAGTGAGCCAAGATCATGCCACTGCACTCTAGCCTGGGTGACAGAGCAAGACTCCATTTCAAAAAAGCAAAAGAATAGCAACAACAACAAATATATACATTCACATTGTTGTGCAACCATCCCCAACTCTGGACCCATTAATATGGTATTATTTATCATGATTAATAATTATAATATAGCACTGTTACAATTATTCATGTATTAATACTTATATCTCAATAAAGCTGTTTTTTCAAGCCACAGTTAATTTTTTCTCAGCTTTTAAAAATGAAAACAGATCAGTAGACACTAGCCTGATAATTGGTTATGTATGAGAGCAGTCACCCTGTGCTCAGCCTTGGGCAAAGCTTCTCTATATGTTATATCCATCAACCATCACAACGACCCTATGAGGTAAGTAGTATTACAATCCCTATTCAACAAATGAGTAGACTGAGGACTTCTTTTATGAGAAAGGGTGAAAGTAAGTAACTTTACCAAGTATATTCAGCTACTAAAATGGCAAAGCCATGTTTTGAACCCAAGCAGCCTGCTGTTAGTTCAACCCTTAAATATCCAGGCATAGTTTTTCAATGAGGAGAAAATAGATGCCCTAGTAATTTTAACCTCATTTTCAGGGCTGAGAGGGAGCTTAAAGTATCTCTGATATAGAAACCAGATGTGTTCTTTTTCACTATTCATTTTTTCACAAAATTTTCAGGATATTTGTGTATCAAGCACTGCTCTGGAAACTTGGGATGCAAATACCATAACAAAACAAAACAAATCCTGGCCCTTGCTTTTAAAGTCTCATGTAATCTATAAATTTTGGTATACTTGGATAAATGTAATAAAGAAAGTGCATACAGATTACAGTAACTAATTCTTCTGGGAGCCTTGAGAAAAACGTCACTAAGTAGCACAAACTTAAAACAAGTCTTGAAATTTTGGCCAGCTTTTTTTCCAGATAGACAATGATAGGAAGCAGAGAAAGAAGGAAGCAGGTCATAGAAGTAACATAACACACACAGAGGCAAGCAGGATGGCCCCAAGAAGCAAAATGTTTTCAGAAAATACTGGAAACGTACTTTTTAGGCCAAAGTGTTATAAGAAGAATCATCAATGATTGAGTTGGAAGTTTCTGGAAAGTGAAAAGTGTTCTTTGGGAGTTCATTAGGCTATTATAATTTCCAGAAGTATTTGAACATAAAATTCATTGTGCTTTGTGGCCATGAGATAACAAATGTAGAGAACTTGAGAAGTTTAGCTGCAATACACACTACAGGTCACAATGTGTGACCTAGGATTCTATGTGCTTGGTATCTCTAAGTGGTGTATTGGTACAATGAAAATAATTTAGGTCTGGAGTAAACTTTCTTGGCAAGCTAAATTTTACATGGTAACAAGACCACCTCAAAGCTATTTTAATAAGTGAATAAATGCTTATGAAACACGCTTTACAAACTTTCATACTTGTATGAAAAACGTCATAAAACTACTTTTCTATATCCCCTTTCTCTTTAAGAAAATGGAGCACTTGAAATATGAAAACTTTTAATGCTCATTTTTTCCCTTAAGGACTCCTATTCTTGTGTTACTTTTGTTGGGAAATGTTTAGGTCTATACTTCTTAGTAACAAATAAACAGAGGCCTCTTGGTTATCTTCTAAAACAATCCCTAGGTTTACTTTTATAGATTATTGATGCAATTGGTAAACATTGCATTAACTTTGTAGAAACCTCCAAAGATAGTTTTCTTTTTTGTAAAGGCTAGAATTTCCTGAAGATTTTGGAGTTTCAGCTCGTGTTTATTATGACTACCTCAGGGACTGATAGGAGTCTGGAAACATGGGTAAAGTTATTACAAAAAGTTCTACTGAGCTTATTTCAAGAACATTTCTATCTGTGAGGACTAATACCAAGGCTGAAGCTATCGTGTTGTGTTACTTTAAAGCGTGGTGGAGAAAAAAAAAAAATCGTAAAAAGAAGCATTTAATTGAGGAAGGCCAATGGAACAAAAACATCAATTGATTTTTCCATGTTCTTGCGTAAAACTGAATGATGTAGCAGCCAAATTATCAAAATCAAAATACTATGTCCCCAGAACAGTTTATCAGAATGTCCGGGATGGTAAGGAGTTACAGAGCACTTAACTAAGTCTGAGGCCACTTACATGTGATAAGTAATTTTGTCATACACTCTCCCTCCCCTTTTGAAAGAGGAGAGGGAGCAGAGCCATCTGTGTTCTGTTCAGCTTCAGTTTAGCAAAGAAGAAAAAATAAATAAATGGCACCCTATAGAAACAGTAACAAGTCCCTGGGAAAGTTACAATATACTTTCTGTTGGGAAATTCAGTGACAACTTTTTCATAGAGTATGTTTTACTTGAACCAGAGGACATCGCAGGTCTGAGAAGGACAAAATATATCACAATCAACCCACATTTTCATGCTTTCAGAAGATATATATAAGCTTGCTTGTTGTAATCTCACTCCTGCTCTTCCTGCTCCCCTACCTCTTTCTTTTACTGCCTCCAAAAATCATGGAAATGTAAGACTACGTATAGATGTATATGGTATATGCTACATGGAAATAGCAGGAATCAATCCTGTTTTAGCTGCTTGAGACAGTTTCCATCTTTTCTGAGCGTAAGCTTCTCTTCTGTAAAGCTAAATAATTATATCTATTTTTTTCAATATTATCATGAAGATTGTGCTTGGCCTGTAATGGGTGCTCCAGGATTGGTGGCTATTAGCACAGTTATTTTTATTATTGTCATTATTGTTTTAATTACGATCATAATCATATTGAAGAGTGAATGGGAGACATTTAAACAGCTCATGTGAGATTTTAGCATTTTTTGTATCTTTTGATCAAACACTTCCCTGAAAATAAAATATTTTGGTTTTGGTAACAGGAAGATAATGTGACAATGAGATTTGTCACTAGAAGGCAGATATTAATGCCAATCTTGTGTATTTACACCACTAGAACATCTTTTTAAAAACCTAATGATGGTTACCCCATTTGAAATTTGAAAACTACAACTACAAACTTTTAAATGTAACTATATCCAGCATTTTATGTTAAAATCATTCTAGAATCATTATTTCAAGATGGCTAATGGTACTGCCCCATGCTAGCCACTAGCAGTTACGTGAGCCTAGCCCCACATCACCCTGGGATAGGAGTCTTCCTGCTTCCCTTCTAGCCCTAGGAAGAACTGGAGAGCACCTCGGCCTTCAAATGCAAAGCTAATTTTCAAGCAACAGTAGTTGAAAGCACCTCTACTAATCACAACATATGATATAGTAATATAGTAGGGTTCTGTTTACAGTAATATAGCATCAGATATGGGTAGAAACATTGAACAAATGAAGAATGCATGTTTTAAAACTGTTCTATTACCTATAGAACATCTTTGCACAAAGGGAAAATAATTTGACTTTTCAAGGTAGGGAACAACTTTTGTAAATTAAACCATGAATCCCAGTGTGTTTTTAGAAAAGTATTGTTTAGGTCTGTGGAGGCAAAAATCTAATTTCACAATTGCTAGTATTATGTACCCGTGTTTTAGAGCAGCTGGCAGATAAATTCAGGACTTTGTTATGATTCTTTAAGTGTAAAATTTTGATGTTATTTTTCTTAAGGTGCAGCGTTCATATAATATACCCTACTGATAAAAACTATACTTTGTGGCAGAAAGCTGTCTGACCCAGCGGAAGTAATTCTTCCAACTTCCCTGGAAGCCAAGGGAGCAGGCAGCTGGGCGTGGGGTGCTGGCAGTGGGGGGGCGGCCCTGGAATAGGGGCTGTGGCGGTACACGGGGACCCAGCTGTGGTGGCTGCCAGGCTGATGAGAAACTACTAAAGTTCCTGGGGAAGCAAAGTAGAATTTCATATGAACAAAATGGATAGAGAGGAGAAAACCTATGGTGGTTGTGAAGGCCCTGATGTCAAATGCATATGATATCAGATGATATGTCAAATGCATATCATCTGATGGCCATGAATTTATTGTAAGAAGAGAACATGCATTAACATCAGGCATGATAAAAGCCATGTTGAGTGGCCCGGGTCAATTTGCTGAGAATGAAAGCACTGAGGCCAATTTTAGAGAGATACCTTCACATGTGCTATCAAAAGTATGCACGGATTTTACATATAGGGTTCGCTGCACTAACAGCGCCACCGAGATTCCCGAATTCCCAATTTCACCTGTAATTGTATTAGAACTGCTCCTGGCTGTGAATAAAATAAATTGCAATAAAATTTTAACTCTTTTCAGTATTTTTTTTTAAAACTATACTCTGTACTTGTGTATTTAAGCTGCAAATTATATATCAGAACTCACTTAACTGCATCTCCCAATTAAAGTCTAATTTTAAGGGCAGAAAATAAAAATTGACCTTTCGAATAAATGGATCTCCAAATATCAAGTGATTTTAAAGAGTAAATTTAAATTCTATAGTTAATCTTTCTTGATAAAAAAGTCTTCAGTCATTTCTGTCAAAATTGGACCTCCCAAATGGAGTTACTATGTATCTATTTCCATCCTCAAACCACACATTTGGTTCACAAATCAAGTAATTATGAGTACAAAGGGATCTTGGAAAGTGCAATCACGTTACTGGCACATGCAAGTAAAATATGGATGCTCAATTTCCATCTTAATGCATGCAAATGATAGACCCACACATAAGGGCCTTGTAACACCCCTGTGCACAGCGTTTTGCTTTGGCTATTAGGTTTAAGGCGATATCCTGTTACTCTGAGCATGTTGAACAATGTTTCACATGAGAATTAACCCCAATTCTATTTTTGTTTAAATTTCTAACTTCATTTCTAATAAAGATTGATTCTCATACTTAAGGAATTCTTTTGCCTAAGAAGGTTGAGATGTTACTGTATTTCATTTTATAATGAAACCAGTATATTTTTCTTTTTGGGTTCTATAATCCTTGCAGGACCTTGGATCCATTGTTTACTAAATGTGTGGTCTAATCTTCTTGGAATTTTTAGTGTTCATCTGAGAAATGGGACGGTACTTGGGGTTGCAATGTACAAAGCACAGAGGTTATACACTCTGTGAAAACTGTACAGTGCTAACTCTATGTTTAACTCTTTAAGGAATTCCCAGATTGTTTTCCAAAGTGGCTCCATCATTTTATATTGCTACCAAAAGTGTGTGAAGATTCTGATTGCCTCACATTCTCACCAACATTTGTTATCACCTAACTTTTGATTCTAGTCATCCTCGCGGGTGTGAAGTTGTGCTTCATTATGGTTTTGAATTGCATTTCCCCAGTGGCTGGTGATACTGAGCACCTTTTCATGTGCTTAGTGGTCATTTGTATATCTTTTTGGGAAAACCTCTTTTCAAATTTGTTGCCCATTTAAAAATGTGATTGTTCGTCTTTTCATTATTCAATTGTAGACTTCCTTATATATTTGGGATACAAGTCTTTATCAGATATGTAATTTTCAAAATTGTTCTCCAATTTTGTGGATTGTCTTTCCACTTTCTTGAAGATGTCCTTTGAAGCACAAAAGTTTTTTTTATTTTGTTGAGATTCAAATTATTATTATTTTGTTACTTGTGATTTTAGTATCATAGTTAACAAAATCCATGACATGTGTTACAGTGGCACAGTGATATACTTTGAGAAGCACTGGTCTAATTGCCAGATGGTCCTTGAGTTATGCAGTTCACTCTCACAGAAACTGAACTGGATTTATTAGAAGCTACTATCTACAGAAAGATTAGCCTAACCCAGAGCCCAGCAATGAGATTATATTCCATCTGTTCATTCATTGAGTGGCTGCTGGAGCATGGTAGGTATTATGGAAATTAGAAAGAGATGCCAACTGTGGCAGATAGAGTCCCTTGGGTGCAAGTCTTGGTGGGTTTGTATAACAAGTGGGTCCCTCCTCTGGTCCATTGTAACCCTGTGTTGGACCAATGACCTGAACTAGCAGAACTTGAGTGGGTTTTCGGGCCCTGCTCATTCCCTTGGCCACACACATTTGTGTAGTACTCAGACTACGTACACATATATGCACACACATGGTGGCCCTGGCCAATTTTTGGGTGATTTATTTTGTCATCTCATCAAATACTCGTGTTAACTCTATGGTGTAGATAGCATTTTGTCAGTGAAGAAACTCAGTTCAATTCGTTTTCTTTAGTTGAAAATGAGTAAATTATAGAGCAGAGATTCATACCCTCTATCATGGCTTTGGTTCTAATATTCTTTCCATCATGCCACTCTCTCATATTCGATGGTCACACAAATTTTGACGCCTTAAAACCTATTAAATTCCTCCACCTGAAACCACATTAGGAACTGCTGACATGTCAGGAATCTATCTACCATGCTGAAGTCTGCACTCGGAGTCCTATTCCCTTTGCGTTGCTTCCCTATATCACACACCTGGCTTTTCAATTCAGGACTACCAAATGTGAGGCAGTGTTTCTCTTCCTCTGTCGCCAAACTGTAGCAAGGTCTCTCTTACCTCTGTGAAGTTGCCAAAACACTATGAGTTGGAGGAAATCCTGAATTTGTGTAGGGCATTGCCTTGTCACCAGAATGCCTGTAAGTTTTTATTCAAATGTGAATGTGATGGTTAATATTAGGTGTCAATGTGACTAGATTGAGGGAAGTCTAGATGGCTGGTGAAGCATTGTTTCTGGGTGTGCCTGTGCGGGTGTTTACAGAGAGATTGGCATATGAGTCAGCAGATTGGGAGCTGGCACTATCCAACTGTGCCAGTGAGCTAGAACAAAGCAGGTGGAAGGAGGGGGATATTCAGCTTGCTAAGTTAGCTTCCTTTTCCTCTGTCCCTTCCGGAGTGAGGCGTTTTTTTCTACTCCTGCCCCTGGACATCAGACTCCAGAATCTTTGGCCTTTGGATTCTGGGACTTGCCCCAGTGACCTCCTGGGGGAATCTCTTGACTTTTGGCCTCAGACTGGGGCTGCATTGTCAGATTCCTTGTTTTTAAGGCTTTCAAACTTGGACAGAGCCACACTGGACTTTTCTCATCCCCCAGCTTACAGATAGCCTATTGTGAGACTTCATCTTTGTGATCAGGCGAGCACACCTGGTTATTTTGTCAAATACTGGCATTAACTCTGTGGTGAAGAGACCATTTTGTCAATGAAGAAATTCAGTTCAATTGGTTTACTTTAGTTGAAAATGAGTGAATCATAGAGTGGAGAGTCATACCCTCTCTTATGACTTCGGTTCTAATATTTTTTCCATTATGCCACTTTCTCATGCTCTATGGCCACTCAAGTTTTGACACCTTGAAGCCTAAATGCCATCACTTGAAACCATATTAGGAACTGCCTGTGAACTGGAACAAAGCAGGTGGAAGAAGGGGGATATTCAGCTTGCTAAGCTTCCTTACACACACACACACACGCGCACGCACACACACACACACATATGTGTGTGTGTATGTGTGTGTGTGTGTGTATTTTATTGGTTCTGTCCCTCTGTAGAGCCCTGATTAATACGGATTTGAAGCATAGGCACACAAATACACAAGGGCATACAGAGAAAGCCAAGGAGCTATGGCAGGAGAGACTGGAGGAGAGGATTTTATAATTTCTTTCATTGTAGGCAAATCTTTATTGCCAAAGAGATATATATTGGTGCATTTTTGGATAACCTGCTTTTTTCCCTTGCCAATATATTTTGCACTGCCTTCTGCCATATTTTATTCTTTTTTGTGGAGGAGGCTGCCTCTTTTCTCTCTTTCCCTCATGGGAGAAGTGAAGGAGAATTTCCAAGAGAATACTTCATAGATAATGAAGATATATGTAAGAAGTGGAGCTCAGCATATCTCCTCAGAAAATGAATTTGTCAATTGTCCTTGCACCTCCCTGAAACAAAGCAAAAGTATTTGAAGAGAAGTGACTAGAAGGAAAGCACGGGTAGCCTGTGCTCCCCCTTCTTGGTCTGACAAGCATAAGGATTGGAGTTTTTTTGTTTTATGGGCTAAGTGACAGAGCCCTGCTCATTCCTTGGTCAGATACATTTGTGTAGTACTTGGACTGACAGCAACTAGACTAAAGTGGCCTTCTTCTTGTCCCAAGGGTGGACTACTGGAGTAGGGGACCACAGCAGCAGGGGATATGGAGCATGTCAGCTGGGGTAGAGTTGTGGAAGATAAAGGAAGAAGAAGCATAGTTGCATTTCCTAGGGCAGGAACTTGTATAGCATAGATGTGTCTTATGGGCTTCAGGAAAGTGCACATGTATATTCTCCAGATGACCAGCATTGGGTCGTCTGCCACACTAGCAGCATTGGCTGTGAGTACTGTTATCCAGGGAAGCATCTATAATTCTAAAGTGGATTACAACAACTGCCAGATAAGTAAGAGAATCCTGTCCCTTTAATTTATCCCCACTTTGCTACTTTATAACAAAGAAGTTGAAGCGTAGGAGAGGGATATCAGCAAGATGGAAGAAAAGAAGTTGCCAGTTTTTATACCTCCACAAAAAAAAAACAAGTAGACAACTATTCACAAACAAAAATAGCTTTGAAAGGGATCCGGGTTTCAATTACAAACTAGCAGCAACACAGTGGAGCAAAAACTGGAGAACAGCTGCACAGAAGTGATAGCTGGAGAGATTGGCATACTTGGGACATCTGGAGATGGCTAGGTTCAAAGAAGAAGAATGGGGGCTGTCAGTCATGTAATGGATGCCACCATGGTCCCCTGTAACCTGCTTGACAGAGGACACCAGTAGCTTTCACCAAAGTGAAACTAAAGTAGCCAGTGCCTCCAGATAGGGAGATACTGCTGAGCTCCCTACACTTCCCAAGAAGGAGTCACTATTGTGCCTATATGCTGCCTTTCTCAATCCTGTGCGTATTGAAGATCCTTAAGCTGTGGCCACCCTGCACTCCAGATCCTTGCTCTGTGGTCACACCACATATTCCTTTGCCCCAGACACTGAAGCCACTACTACTGCAAGCTAGCCCCTCCCTTGGCCTCGTAGATGAGGCCACTCTGTGTGCATCTGTGCTCTGGAGACTGGCTCTGCCATCTGAGAGGGTCTATGCCTCGGATGCGGAAGCCACTGCCCACACCCTAGAGCCCAAAGTCAATGTCACTCTGCACATACCTGTCCCAGACCCTGCCTCTGTGGCTGCTCCAAGAGCTCCTGGACTCTAGATAGTAGATCACTACAGCAGATGTATCTGTGCCCTGATCCCTGGAGCAGCAGTAGACCTGTGCATGACCATGCTGCAAAACCCAGAGCCACTGTCACTCCATATGTACACAAGCTCCAGCCCCTGACACTGTGGCTACTCCATGAAGCTGCACATCAGACACCAGTGCCACCCTCACCCTGAGCATATGTGCAAGCCAGGCTTGTTACCATGAGGGATCCCCTTGGCCATGAATTCCCCTGTGGGAAAAGTAGAGCTCAAAATAATCTCAGTAGCCTTTGTCACCAAATATTCCAACTGCCCTCAACACCACTGTGGATATCCTTAGCCTTGGTCACCAAGGACCCCTGCAATCTTTGCTGATGCCACCTCAAATGACAGAATCACATGAAGACTATGCCTCTGTACCCTCAATGGAGCCAGAACTGCTGCACCCTATCCATCCAGCACCTTCACACCAACCTACAGGTGAAGGTCTTTTTCTCACCGAAATGAGTCCATAAAGTATAGAAAAGGTGAAAACTCCATAAATTCATAGGTACCCATGTAAGGCAAGAATACATGAAAAACCAAGGAAATATGTTACTACCAAAGGAACAATAATTTTCTAGTAACCAATCCCAAAGAAATGCATACCTACAAATTGCCTGACAAGCAATTTAAAAAACATTTGTTTCAACACAGATTAGGGAGCAGCAAGAAAACACTAATAGACAACTTAATGATGTTAGGAAAACAATACATGAACAGAAAGAGAAGTTCAATGGAGAGAAATACAGTCATGAATGTAATGTATGTATGTATGAATGAATGAATGAATGTATAGTCTTAATGATAAGACCACATTCTGAGAAATGT